CCCCGTCCCCCAGTGCACGAATCTCGTACACCAGGCCTCTAGTTGTTAATATTTTAAAATATGATAATATATTAAGGAGATTGACCAATCAGTCAATTATTCTCTAAAATATTAAAGCAAATTATTCATCACCCAATCTCCCTATAAATTGATAATTCAAAGTTTTATAAATGTAGAGCATCTATATAAATGTAATTCTAGAGAAGAAACAGAAGGATTCATAGTGTCTAAAAAGTATCCGAGCTGTTTAGTGGAACTAAGGTAAAACCAGCAGGCAGTATGTAGAGAATGAATAAGAATTGCATCTTCTTTCCCCCCATGTATTACTGTAGCCAGTAGGTTCAAAGGAGGTTCTCTGATCTGGGCTCTCTAGGGATTGTTGAAAGTCATTTTGCTTCCCCCACCTCAATTTTTCTTGGACTGTGGTAGAATCATTCTGAAGTTTATTGGAAGAACAACAGAAAGAAAATGACAAAAACTCTTCTGAAAAAAGAAAGGGAGAATAGGCCCACTCTTCCAGTTAGTAAAATGTTACAGAATTATAATAATTAAGATAGTATATCACTGTTACAGGAATAGGCAACTAAGTGGAAGGGATAGCTCCCATATAGACATTATAATGAAAACTTCACATATAAAAAGGAAACATCAGACAAAAAAATAGAAACGGGAAGTTTACTTAATAAATGGTAAAGTCGCCCTAACCAGTTTGGCTCAGTGGATAGAGCGTCGGCCTGCGGACTCAAGGGTCCCAGGTTCGATTCCGGTCAAGGGCATGTACCTTGGTTGCGGGCACATACCCAGTAGGGAGTGTGCAGGAGGCAGCTGATCGATGTTTCTCTCTCATCAATGTTTCTAACTCTCTATCCCTCTCCCGTCCTCTCTGTAAAAAATCAATAAAATATATTTTAAAAATATAAATAAATAAATAAATGGTAAAGTCATGGGATAGCTCACTAAGAATTTTGGAAGGAGAGTGGAATCAGGTGGAATCACCAGTATTGCAAATTACAAGTGCTTTAGGGTTAAAGATAGAAAAGGGGAGAAAGAAGGAAAGGCAGACATTAAAATGAGGGGGGAAACTAGAATTTAATGTCAGATTTCTGCATTGGGTTAATTTTTTAACTTTTCAACTGAAATACCATTTTTATTAAATAAACTGAAAAAGGGTGGTGGGAACTGGGGAAAATACTGACCACCAATGACTTATTAACTACCTATGTTATTGAAGAGCATCTCAAAACATATCACCAGGGAAGAAACTGAATTATTACACTTACATTAGTCACCCTTTTGGAAAACAGCTGTTATTAACATTGATGTCAACAACATCAAATATGTTTGTGGAGTTTGAGTAGTCCTACTCCTGGAGATTTATAATTAAAGAATGGGAAACATTATGTATTATTTGGATGAGGTGTTGTTTGTAGTGTGAGTAACTCCCAGGCCAGGATACTTTCAGAATCACCAAGGGATGCTTTTTAAAAATGTTCCTAGAAATTCTGACTCATAGGTGTGGAATGATGCTTAATCTGCATGTTTACCAAACATGATGATTCTGATCATGGTTATTTGTGTATCTTATAATGAGCAGCATTCTCTAAATGTCCAATTAATAGTGGCTTAGCAAATTATAGTATTACTTAGTGAAGAATATTATACAGCTTGTAAAAAGTTTTGTGTGTTTTTTTTAATTAGAGGGAAATTCATAAAATTATATTTCTATTAATTATAGCTAGGCAATATAGACATTGGATCAGAGACTGGAAGAGAACAGGGAAAATGAAAGCAACTGATTTTATTGGGCCATCAGAATGAATAAGGGATAATCTTTCTTTAGTCCCATGTGCGTTGCTATGTTTATGTAATTTCTTTCGAAGTAAATTTTGAAATTGTTTTTATTTTTTTCAGGCATGTTACTACCAGATCCAGCGTGAGAAGCTTAACTAGGTTGCGTAACAGCTAACAACTGGATTATCTCTACAGAGTGTTATAGCACCATCTGGCACCTTCCTGTAGTGGCAAAAAAGAATGGACTTGAAGTTAGGATGTTTTGTTATTTTGGTTATTTCTGAGCCTTACTAATGATCAGAGCTCTGAGCCCAGAGGAAAAGACTGTACAGTTTAAAGGGAAGATCGAAGAGGAGGTAGAATTCAGATTGGACCAGTCCCTGGTCTATGTTAAGCTCCCCAACTCTCATCTACTACTGTTTGAAGAAAGAGGACATCCCCTCCTTCGGCGAAGGGTACGCTGCTCCACACCATCAGGAAGGTTCTCAGTGAAGGAAGTCGATGGACATTTTTGAGTTTCTGGTTTGCCTGCAGTTACCCCAGACCCTTTTGCAAGGAGCAGATTGTTCTCGAAACGACGGTTACCACACTCTGCCTTCCTAGGTTCCTTGCAATCCTGGGTGCATCCTGCTGCTTTGCTGAGACAGGGGCAAGAGGAACTTTTAAACTGCAGTTTTAACTTTTTCTAAGCTTTTCCACCAGGGTATTCATCATAGGAGAGAGGTTCAATATAATGACCAACAAATTCCAACCCCAAACAAGGATCGTGTCCAAATAGGAGTATTCTGCCTCCTGAGTAAAAGAACATAGGAATCTTGTCCTTGGTTTCCTTACAATGAGCTGCTGCCGATCCTCCCCTGTCCACAGGCAAAGGCTGTGCCTGGGGCCTGGGAATGAGGCGAAGACTTTTGCATGCAGGCTGCAGTGGAGCAAAGACTAGGAGACGGGGACGCGGAGGCCTGCGTCCGTCCCTGACCTCGTGTTGTGCTTCCCTGTGCCTCACAGGGGACTCACAGGGGAAGGAAAAGGAAACGCGCTCGGCTTTTCCCATCTCACAAGTATTGTGACACCTCAACGTCGTAGTGTTTTGCTTTTTTTATGTTGTAAGTGGTGGGTTTATACTGTACAAGTAACACTAGTAGCTGTTTGGATAACATAGGTGCTCTTCCTCATCTCATCTGCACACGTGAGGAGCGTACGGAGTGTCCTCCTGATTTATGTTAAACAGCAGATGCTAACAAACAGGATCATGGTTTTTGCTCTACTTTATAATCAAGACGAGTGTTTATTAAAATACTGTTTTGGAATGTTGGCTGTAATGTAACAGCAATTTTCATAATAAAAGACATTCATCTTTATGAGGTTGTTTTGATTGCAAAAGAAATGACACAGGGCAGACTACAATTTTAAAAGAAGCCGGGCTTCGTGTTTTGGTGCCCACATTGTCATCTGCCTCAGAGGTTCCTCTAGGGTCTCAGACATCTCTCTTTAAAATAAACAAACTTAATTATTATTATAGCACCTTTGGTGGCAAAGGACAAATTAACCTGATCCTATTAACCCGAGGACAAGGGTCTTAAAATAAGTCTGTTATTTCTTTGAATAAAAGGCATATTTTGATAGTTACTGTGTTTTTATGTTTGTTTTGTTTTTGTTTTGTGTTTGTTTTTTCTCTCTCCCTTAAACAGATTCAGGGAAGGGAGGAGTGAGGATTTAAAATCCTGGTTAGAAATATTAGGCCTTAGTCAATCATCTCCTTGTTGTAGTGTCTTCTCAAGAAGCCTATGCTTTCTGCCCGCGTGGGCCTGCTTGCTGCCGAGGGACGGTACTGGAAGATCAGTGTATGTTAAACACTTTTCCTTTCCATTAGGGAATGCTTGGACTTTTAAGTAAATTCCACATTTGACCTGTAAAGGCAATTGTACTGAATGCCTTTGACCCCCTAGGAGATAGAGACTGGGATAATTGTGGAAATGGACAGAGAAGAACTTGAGACCCACAGAGAAGTTCTAAAATGCTGGTAGGCCATCTTAATTCTTTCAAAACACAAAAAACATGTTACAATTCATCCTTTTATTGGAGTCATGAATGAAACTACCCTGTTACATTAGTTTCTTCTTACTGTATTTATACTTTTCAAATAGCATATTAAAATTATAAAATTTCAGTTCTCTTGGGGGAAAAGCCCTAAGTCTCCAGGCCAATGTCTGTAGCAATTTGCAAGGACCTCTCACCCTGATGAATGCTCACCCTACTGATTCCCGTTTTACAGACAAGGAGTGGCTGTGGTTCACTTCCTATTAGAGCTGAGTCTCGAACCTGGAACTTCCCAGTGCGCTTTCCTCCTGCAGCTGCAGAGATGTCATTTCATACAGGTCATGCATTAAAAGTTCCAAAGTGAAAAGAGTTGGAAATAAAAACTTTTTAATCCTCACCTGAGGATGTTTTTCCATTGATTTTTAGAGAGAGTGGAAGAGAGGGAAAGACAGAGAAATATCCATGGGAGAGAAACACATCGATTTGTCGCCTCCTGCATGCTCCCTGACCAAGGCCCGGGCCAGGGAGGAGCCTGCAGCCGAGGCATGTGCCCCTGATCGGAATCAAACCCGGGACCCTTTGGTCCACAGGCCGACGCTCTATCCACTGAGCCAAACTGGCTAGTGTGAAAATAAAAACTTTTAATAAAATTAAGTGCTTTTCATAAAACATTCACAAATGTATCCCATTCCCAGCTTGGGTTTTCATCTACAGTGGAGAGCCATATGTTAATTTAGGATAAAGGGGCTGATAAACCTTATAATTGCTATTTGGTCTTTACCCTTCGCCTTGCTGTCAGCAGTACCCTTTCTCCTGTTTGTTGTTGTTGCTTTGTGATGCCTGCTTTCAAAGTTCTCCCCCCTCCCTGCAATATGAAATGTTCAGACAAAGAAGTAGCTCCAATCTGAGACAGAGGATGGGCGAACCATGAAGTTCAGAGCAGTGGCTTGGTAGGGGGCCTTCCAGAAGGAACTGCTGCTGATTTCATTGTTCTCTCACCGTAGCGTGAGACAATTAGTAAGGTTACTAGGCTTCCTCTCAGGTACCTCCACAGTTTTCCCTTCCATTAAAATAAAGTGCTATCTTCTGTTTCGGGTTGTCTGTTATCCTGAAACACTCAACACAAGTATTAATCTTTAACCATTAGCAATGTGCTGACAATGAGAGAGAAAATACTACAGGAAGGTTTAAAATGAGAGAAATTGCTAAACTCTTCAGTGTAAGGATTACTTAAGATTTGTGACAGGGGAGGCTTGGGAGTCATTGAATGGTTAGGCGTCTGTGGATTAAAGAGGATGTGCAGAGATTTAATCTGGAACAGCGAGGTGACTGGCAGCTGAAAGCAGCTAATTTCCCGATAAAGCTTTTCCCTTGATACCAGCAACATTGCGTGTCTGCAGTCTCGCAGGTAAGAGACCCTGCTGAGTGGTCCTCAATGCCGGGGATCCACCTGTCTGCCCTTCTCTCCGTTCTCAATAGCTAAAGGTACAGTTCTGGGCTTTCTGGTCTACGTGGTTTAGTTGCATTTAGTAGCATTCCTGAAAATTCAGTGTATGTTAAAACTGTGCAAAAGTACTTTGTATCTATATGTAAAGAAAAGTTGAAAAATTCCCTTGTGGCAATTACTGACTTGGTATAAAATAGGCCTTAAATAAATGCTTGTCTATTGATTAGAAGAAAAAAAAGAAAGAAAAGTTGAGTTCTAGGCTCAGATAGTTATAGAGGTTTTCTTCCAGCCACATGAAAGTGCAGTGGACATTTGAGGGTTACACAGGGCATGAGGCGATTCTTCATTAGAAGGGCACCTTCTGGGAAACTTCCTCGAAGCCGTGGGCATGTTCCCCTGCCCTCATTTCCTCAAGCCCCCCTCCCCCGGCCTGCTGGCTGAACTATAGATGTGACGGCTGGCCTCCAGCCACCACCTGGAGCAGGAGGGTGAGGAGCACACCCCCCCCGGGGTGGTGGAGGGCTGAGTGGAAAGAACCCTCTGAGAACTTCATGGAGCAAGGCTGCCCGACCAGCCCGGGATTGTCTCCGCCTCTGGAAGTTTACATGAGCAGGATATAAAGTTCTGTTAAGCCACTATTGTTTTGGGATTCTGTTTCTTGAAATTAAACCTACCTAAAGCAGCCCAGCCGGTGTAGCTCAGTGATTGAGCGTCGACCCATGAACCAGGAGGTCCCGCATTCGATTCTGCTGAGGGCACAAGCCTGGGTTGTGGGCTGAATCCCAGTAGGGGGCATGCAGGAGGCAGCCGATCAATGATTCTCTCTCATCAGTGATGTTTCTATCGCTCCCTCTCTCTGAAATCAATAAAAACATATTTTAAAAAATTAAAAAATAAATAAACCTGCCTAAAGCAACATAGAAAGTAAATTCTAAGAGTGTGGGTCAGTAACACACGACTCTGGTACAATGAGAGGGAACAGGGCTCCTGAGTCAGTCAGGCCAGGGAGGCTTCTAAGCTCTGAGTGATGGTAAAAGCAACTAGGCAAAGGGCGCCGTAGAGGGAGTGTTTTATGAAATAGCAGTTTTCTCTTCTGCGCAACTAGTGGTGGTCAGAGAGGACCACCATGCAAGAATTTTGTGTGTTTGCTGAGGATCCCCGTGTGTAGCACAGTGCCTGGCTCGCCCAGTAAGTGCTGTTGAAAATGTATTTCAGGGCGCCAAGAGCTACGTGGCCAGCGTGGTTGAGTGAGCGGTGTGCTGTCTATTGACCTGCTCCCCAGGCCTGGATTCTCTCTGGGAGCTCTGGAGGGAGGATGATACACTCAGACAAAGGCGCAGACCCGCCCGACAAGGAGGACCTGAAGCGTTCTACGCCATCCAATCCCGAGGATGGTATGTGGCTCCCGGATCCTGTTTCTAAGCTAGGGAGGTCTGATACCATCACTCTGAACATGTGATCAAATACATGGGTAAAATTCTGATAGATTTACTGCGATTCCTATAAGGGTCCTGTACACTTTTGAGTGTCCTACCACATGTATTGGTTATAAGTCTAAGTAATTTTCAGGGCAGGAAGGAAAGATATTGACCCAATGTCTTACCTAAACTTAGAGCTTCATAACTTGTTCACATTCAAAATGTCACTGCATCAAATAGAATTTCTATGAAAACACTTCTAAAAAACAGAGCATTCACGAAAATCTGGCCAGCCCCTTTAAGCAGTGGAATCCTGAGATGTGTATTAAAAACTTATTGGGAGTTAGAGTTTTTCAATCACACTTTCAATAAGCATTTTCAGAGAGGGTAGACAAATGAATCTCTGTTTGAATTAGGGAAGGAGTACCCAGAAAACAACTAGATTGTTTTGGAATAAGCCAAAGGCTGGTAAGATTGGGGAGAATAAAAGCAATATTGCTCTCACAATATCTTCCATCTGTGTACCATGACCTCTTATTTCATCAGGCGTTGGCAGCAACCCTATGGGAGAGCTAACATACTCTCTTTTTGCCACAGGAACCTGGGTCCCAGGTAGTTCGGTGACTTTCTGAGCAAGTGACAGAATAGGGCCTGAAGGCAGATCTTCTGGCCTTAAATCCAGTGTCATCGCTACCCCTCGGTGCCATCTGAGCCCCCGTGGCACGTCCCAGCTGACTTGTCCTTCACATGCACACCGCCTTCTTGCCTCCTCCACCTGCCTGTCACCCTGACTCTGCCCTCTGCCTTTCCCAGGTCTCTCCCAAATCCTGAGGCTTGTGCTGCAAGAGCTGAATCTGTTCTACAGCCGAGATGTGAGCGGACTGTGTCTCCTGTACGACCTCCTCCACTCCCCGTGGCTGCAGGCTCTGCTAAAGGTGCGCCCTGACGCTCAGAAGCCTTGGCCTATCCTGGGGGCAGAAACCGCCTACCCAGCAGGGCCGCGTGTCCCTGGCAGGAAATTCCAACTTGGAAAAACGTTCTCTTTTAAATGTGTTAAATGTATTTTTATTGATTTCAGAGAGGAAGGGAGAGGGAGAGAGAGACATATCAATGATGAGAGAGAATCATTGACCGGCTGCCTCCTGCACACCCCACACTGGGGATGTGCCCTGACCGGGAATTGAACCGTGACCTCCTGGTTCATAGGTCGATGCTCAACCACTGAGCCACGCTGGCTGAAAAAGTTCTTAGAGGGAAGTTCTCAGAGAGAACTAACAAACCTCTTAGTTTAGGAAGGAACTAACTTAGATGGTAAGGAGTATGGCAGCTCCTTTCTTTTCTCCCCGAGGGCCCTGGGATCACAAAGCAGCCACGTTTATATCTTAGGCTTACACAGTGTTATCTATCACTTATATCTCAGGAAAGCTGGGGAAGCCCCACCTGGTTGCTGCCGGGTGCTTTTCCTCCTGGAGTTGCTGTGTGTCACTGAAGGCGCTGCCCTTCTCACACTGAGCGTCTGTGCTTGACGCTCCTGCCTCAGTGCATCAGCCTAGTGGGTCTGGGACAGTGAGCACTGGCCCTGAGGCAGGGCAGGAAGTGCAGCTTCCAGCTCTGGAGGGAGGAGATTGGGCTGCACCGGCCTCTTGGTCTCGGTTCTGCATCCGTGAGAGAAACGATGTGTCTACAATGAGACGAAGGGCTGCACTGGAGCCAGGGTGGCCTTG